CCACAAGCTGCGGATACGGTGGAGGTAGTGCGGCAAGGGCTACAACGCCACGGCTGAACTCCATCTGCTTCAACCGCTGGCCAGACTCCGGGTCCCAGAGCTGCGGCCGGCACAGGCAACACATACACAGGCAACACATACACACACACACACACACACACACGTGCACGTATGTACACACACGCGTGCACACATACACACACACACACACACACACACACACACACACAATGCACTAGGGAAATGCACTACATATGTAGGGGGACTCAGTGATCAGTCACGCCCCCATGACCAATCACGATCCCCGTAACCAGTCAAACAGTCACAAATCCCCGAAGAGCAGTCACAAAGTCACACACACACACACACACACACACACACACACACACACACACACACACACACACACACACACACCGCAGTCTGTATCCTGTTGACTAGTCACAAACCGCTGCGATATTCTCTGTGAACGGTCACAGGATCCACGTCAAAATATTACGACTCAGTTGAAGGCATTCAACAAGGACAAGGGAACTTTCTTTCCTTCAGACTTGAGGAAGAAAGAATTCGATCAGCTTTTGATCTCCGCGTAGTCTACTTGGGTCTGGTGTGTTTGTACTCCACTCTAAAAGGAAAGGGGGTCAAACATTGTCCAGGTTTCAAAAAGAGTCTCTTTTGAGAGGACGTTCTGGCTAGTAGATTGCACCTGTCATCGTCTTTGAAGATCAGAATTCGCCGACCAGAAAGGCTGCAGTATTTCGGAATATGTTCAGTCAATTTTTTGGCATGCCGATCTTGGTAAAACGGAGACTGATTTCAACTGATCCAGCATACAAGCAGCGCAGGCTTTGTGTTATTGGAGAAGATGGGTGACAAGATTACGGAGTTAGAAGTGGCCATCGTCAACAACGCAAAGAGGAAAATAAAATGAAGATGGAAATAAAATAATGTTCATCTCCGAAAAGGTACTGAGTACATCAAGCACCTTCCTGTGTGTAGCTCTGTCTTTCTTGTGGAAAACTCCACAGAAAAACAATGTCCAGCTTGTTGAAACTGAAACTGCTGCTCGGTTGAAGTCGTTCCGGGAAGACATCTATTCAAGACCTCAATGATCCATTCTCAAGAACCATCGTAAGAAAGTAAATCACGTCACGTTAGTGATGAGAATTCGCTCACGACACAGCTCTGCTTTGCTCCAATGCTTGCCCTATACGACTGCATGAAACCATGCAAGATAGCATTGGGAAGGTTATAACCTGGATGCATGATTGGAAGTAGCAGCCAAACGTTGATAAAACGGCAGCTATGTACATTTCCCCTTCTCCCCCTTCCCTGCCACTTTGTTTTCCTTCTTCAAGTGTTGCTATTCGTATTGTTGAAGATCATAAGCATCTTGGCGTTGTTATTGACTTTAAATTGTCGTGGTCACCCCATGTGCAGTATGTCTGCAAGCGCACAAGCTCCATCCTTGGGGCTCTTCAAGCCCACTGTAGACATCTTCCTCTTTCTTGCAAACGTTTGTTTTATCGTTGCTATATATTGCCCTTACTTGACTACTGTGATACTGCGTGGTCTGGCATAACTACTACTGTATTGAACAAGCTAGAAACTAGGGGTGAAACAATTATACCGAATACTCGAGTACTCGCTCGGATTTTTCAAACATAATCGTACTCGGAATAAAACAGAGTACTCGTTCATACATGGTACATGCATTTACCACAGAAATCTGCAGTTTCAGAGCAGCAGTTGGCAGATATTGATGTGCAGACTGTGTGGTGAACATTTCTTCACGAGTAGAGAGAGCCCAAATGACCCACCAACCAATATACCAACCAATATACCCGAGAAAAATGACCGCTACTCGGTTCAATCAGGGTTGTATCATGTGATTTTAAGGCCCTTGGTGTGCAATTTTTAGGAGATGAAGAATACTCGAATACTCGAATATTCGATCGAACTCGGGATCTCAGTGCCAACTTTCACCCCTACTAGAAACCCATAACCGCATGCTCCTTAAAATCTTATTATTTTAGCAAAGATCGTCGCTTTCCCTCCGCTAGCCTTACGAAATTGCCAAGATCAGTCCCCTTTCCACTCGACATAAGTACCACCTCTGTGTTCTCATACATAAAATATTACTAACTAAAATACCCTTGCATATGCAGGCTTATAATTGGTTCTCGGAAACACGGAATACCCGGAACTCATTCAGTCTCCCACGCGCTGCCTCCACCCTATTCACTAGATCCCCGATCTTTGCTGGCTATGTGTTTTGGGCAACATTACCAACGCAGGCCAAGACCAGCATATCGATGGATAATTTCGTTGCTAAAATCTCTGCTCAATTATAGGTTTCATGTATTTGCATGACATCCTGCTGGTTTGTCTCCTCCTTTGCCTTCTTGCCGCTAGGGTTTATAGGGTTTATCGGGTGTTAGCGGCCGTCGTGAGTTCCCTTCGGGAACGGACACAATAATTTACTTTTCTTTTTTTTGCCTTCTTTGCCTTTCATTTGTATTCTTTTATCTGTTTTACTGCTGTGGTTGGCTTTCACCCTTGTCTCAGTTTTACTGGCCGTTATCATGATGTGCCATGAGATAATGATATAAATACAAAAAAATACAGAATGGCGACGTAGACCAGAGAAGTGTGAGTGTCTTGTTTTGACTGCAGGAAATTGCACTTCAAATATTGTGGCTCGACGTAACGCTTGCACGGTTTATTGCTTCGAACACATCTTCATTCCTACTCCCAAACTAGCTCTGTAAAATCCGTTGATGTGAGTAACATTATGGTCTTTCTCGCTGTGCTGCTATAACATGTACCGGTATATATTTGCAATAGTAACTTTCAGTACAACTCCCCAGATCCGGACGTCCCTAATCCGGGCACCTTTCTGACCCATCGAGAGCCCCCAAAAAATGGCATTTCTACGAAAAAAGGCCCCAAAAACTATTGAATGGTATAAAAAAATGTTTACTGCAAGTATGTATGTTTTGAGTTACTGGCAATTCCTAGTTACGGGCAGTGCTTGGTCCCATCGTGCCCGGATCTGGGGAGGTCTACTGTACATGCATATTGTGTACCGTTCACTGTCTTCTTGTCAGTTTTTTCTTGGGCGACCCTCCACACCTTCACTTGTCCAGTATGTATTTTCCTTCTGCTTTTAAAATTGTTTTTAGAAATATTCACTACCTAACTTCTTGTGATTGCTGGTGTACAGCTTGCTTGCTAATTTATCAGAGCACACCAGACAGGTAAATCTCTATGTATGTCTGACCAGATACTATTGATCTGGCAGGCCTCTTCGACAAGAACTTTGGCTGCATAAGGTTTAGAAGTGGGTGCCCAGTGGCCTGAAGGAACTAATCATGTTTGCGATCAGTACCACAGCATGGGTACGGTTCTTCAGTTTTCGTACCAGCAATGGTGGCATGTGGCTTGTTTGAAAGCGTTACAAAAATACCTAGATTCTACCCGCGACTGACTGCTCACGGGGAATTACAGTTGCCACAATGAATCCTACAGTGCAAAGCACTCCGTGAGCAGCAGTCACAAACTATGTACTCTGCACACTCTGTGCTGCGCTGACGAGTCCACAAAGGACGAAACAGTTCTGTCCGCAGATTGAGTACTCTACACACATATACTTCTGAAGTACATCTACATGTACTTTGATATTTTTTTGAAGTATGTTAATGTGTGGCTGGTCGTGGAGTTTCGTGAACCAATTTGTGACTGGCCATGGGGAGGGGGGCTGTGACTGTTTGACTGGTCTCTGAGTCCTACACGCACTGTAAAAGCAGAAATTTTCGGTGGTGTAATATTTTCGGTATTCTCCAAAATCGGCGGTTCGGTAGAGGGAAATGTTCGGTAAAACCCGTTCTCCAGGTAAGTGTGCTAGTACTACATGTATACAGTATCGGTTGTACCGAAATTTTCGGTGCGTTTTATTTTCGGTAAAACCTGTCGGCACCGAAGTTACCGAAAATAAAACACCACCGAAAATTTCTGCTCTTACAGTATGTAATCCATGCGAGCCACTGCACCTTTTGGTTTCACGTACTCTCCATATGCGGAGCATGTTACCGGTATAACCACCAGCAGGGGCGGATCCAGGGGAAGGGGGGGGTTCCTGGAACCCCTAAATTTCGCAAAGGTACCACTGGCAACTATATGCATGTACATGTGCATGTATCAGCTATTCAGTTTTGGCTACACTGGAACCCCTGTGGAGATCTCTGGATCCGCCCCTGACAACACGGTAGACAACAGTTCCTATGACCGAGGCTAGATGTACCGAAAATTACTGTTGATCCACACCGTGTCGTTTCCCAGGTTGTTTTTCGGAAGGGGGGGGGGGATAGATAAAGTAGTTCAAAGCGAAGTACGATGTGCAACAAAGCAGATCAGACCTGGCATGCTGGATTGTACACATTTTCATCCTGCACTCGCACGCATAGTGTACAGCAGTACATGTGCTGGTTCAACAAACATCGTACATGTATTTCGTTGTAGACGCCGACACAGCTTCATAGGCAGAAAATCGACAGGGGGCGGAAATTAGAGCAGGGGGCGGAAATTGGAGCAGGGACGGATCAACGGTACTTTACGGCACACAAACACTAGATTGAGTAGCTTCACATGTGGAGGACTGGAATAGTAGACTAACACTGTGCTTAGAACTGGCACGTGCGTACCAAAAGTACATGAAACCCGGAGTGTGCAGCGTGTGACCTTTTCTGGGTGCCCGTCACGGCGAAATTTCCTGGATTGCATCATAATTGACGCGGACAAGCGACGGGAAGTGGCGTAGTGCGCGCTACTGAGCTGCAGTTGCGCAGAGGGAGATCCGCTTCAAGTGCTTGAATTGTGCGTGTACGTACTACATCGCCAGCATGATGCAATCCCAGAATTTCGCCGTGACACAAACCCATTCGAGCTACCCACTCTGGATTTCATGTACTCTTGATTACACTGCACCAGTCACACTTGAC